CAGTGTTAACCTATTCAAATTGCTTATTTTATTGATTTCATGGGTTTCCACAACAAATGAATATGGTTAGAGAATTTTTAAAACCTCTTATAATTGAACATAATTTAAATACTTGAGGTAAAATATAACCATTTTAAAAAATGTTCAGAATAACTGAAAAGAGAAGTCATAATAAACAGTCATTACATCCAAAACTGAGTGTGATTTAGGGTTTTCTTCTCAGAGAACAAGTGGTTGTGGCCCAGTGGAGTTAAAACAACTTAAATTTGTGCTAGCACTTGCATTTTGCAGTCAAGGTCAGGTCAGTCACCTGCCATCCAGCCCTCACCTGAAAACTACACTTAGTTCTCCAGCAGACTTAGTAGGACTTTGTCTTTACCCTTGCAGCACCCACAGATCCAGAAGAAATCTCAGTACATCAAATACCTTTGCTGTGATGATGTGAGGACCCTGCACCAGTGGGTCAATGGTATCCGCATTGCAAAGGTAAGTTTTCTTTGAGTTTTATGACAGAACATTGAGGTACTTAATTATATGGTTTTGATTGTCATGATAATTATTCCGGTTGTTTCATGTTTATGATTTTGCCAGTGTCTGGTTTTCTCAGGCCTTATGTTTTAAATATCTTTCTTTTCTTTGGGGCTAGATATAAACTTTTAACAGTTGGTATGTATCTATGGAATAATACTGCTAGTAAAAGCTTGTATAGCGTCAAAGGTGATTTATTTTGGCTTTGGAGCATGTGTCATATGATCTTACGTTCAGAATTCAGCCTAGACAAAAGAAATTGCTTTGGGGGGTGGATGAATAAGAGTACAGGATTTTTAGGGCAGTGAAAATATTCATACTCACTCTATATCAGTGGTTCTCAACCTTCCTAATGCCACGACCCTTTAATACAGTTCCTCATGTTGTGATGACCCCCAATTTGTTACAAATTGAACATAATTAAAGCATAGTGATTAATCGCAAAAACGATATGTGATTATATATGTGTTTTCCGATGGTCTTAGGCAACCCCTGTGAAAGGGTCGTTCGACCCCCAAAGGGGTTGCGACCCACAGGTTGAGAACCGCTGCTCTATATGCTACTATAATGATGGGTACATGTCATTATTCACTTGTCCAGATCCATAGGATGTACACCACCAAGAGTAAACCTAAGATCAACTACGGGTTTTGAGTGATGATGATGTCAATGTAGGTTCATTGATTGTAACAAATGTACATTGTGGTGGGGAGTGTTGGTAACAGGGAGGCTGTGCATGTTAGAGGCTGGGAGTGTATGGGAAATCTCTGGAACTTCCTCTCAGTGTTGCTGTGAATCTAAAACTGCTCTATAAAAAAAGTAAATCTTTTTTTTAAAGTAAATCTTAAAAAAAATCTTTTAAAGCACATTTTAAAGATGATTATATTAAGTAACTGGAAATAAAATTTATTATAGCTATAAAATCAAAGTTGCTTGAGGAATAACTGAAAAACAACTTTATATTAATAATGAATACAATCAGGTGTTAACTTCTTGCTGCCTTTGTAAAAATGAAGAAAAATAAGAGATTATAATTTACTGGTATTAAAAGTATTTTTGAAGGATTATTAGGTATTAATTTTAATACAGACTATGAATCAGTAAATGGAAATGTACCCCCTTTCCTGCCTCACCCGGCTGTATCATGCCCTGTGAAGTTCAGATGTCCTCACTTTCCGCTTCTGTTTAGTATGGGAAGCAGCTCTACATGAACTACCAAGAAGCCTTAAAGAGAACAGAGTCTGCTTGTGATTGGACTTCCTTATCCAGCTCCAGCATTAAATCAGGATCCAGTTCGTCCAGCATCCCAGGTAGTGTGAAAAGCCAGTGCACAGTTTACTAGCAATATGAAGGTGTCCCTGTAGAGTGCTAGTAGACCTGGTTGCTTCAGCATGATTCCTAAAAAACAGCCAACCTAATTTCTAAATTATAATAAATAGGTACATGAGCTTTTTTTTTTTTTTACTTGCTAGAGGGGACAATATCCTGGGCAATCTAATAATATCCACATCTCATAGAGTGAGTGGATAGGACTAGCTGTAACATTGGCATCTCTACCAGATGTCAGGTGCTTCTGCATGGTAATCTGACTGACCTGGAGTCCAGTAAAATAACCTTCCCAGTCCCCTCGCCTGGGAGTCACTCAGATTACACTGTCCTCAGCCATTCCCAGCCCCCTGAAGACTTGCCCTCGCACCTTGCCAGGAGGCCAGGCTGTCAGTGCAGCTGCTGCCCTGTGGTGCCAAAACCTAAGCCCTAGGAGACATACTTCCCACTTGGGAGTCAAATTCTGAGTACTGTTCATTGCTGGGGACAGGATGTGGTCATCACATAGAGATCTGGACTCATAAGTGAGTACTCTCTGGGATGGCCTGGAGCAGGGATATATAAAAAGATTGAATTTTGATGTAATGAAGATAGAATTGAAGAAAAAAAAATTCACTGCTCTATTGATCATTTTCTTATTTGCTAGGAGTTCTTCCCAGATAGATTGGCAGGATACCAATTATATCATATGAGCCTTTTATTGTAATTATCAGTCTCGCATGGTGAACTATTTTAAAAGAATCAAGATTTCCTATTAGCCCTAAGATAAAGGGAGATTTTCTAGTGGAAAATATGGGCGGTGCTTTATAGGAAATGCATAAAAGTAACTTTTTGCTCTTCTATAAAGCACCTGGTCTTGTGCAAAAGATCTGTCTGAACTACATATTCATACTGTCAGAATACTGACATATGTAATACTGTTTCTGAAAATCTTTTAAACAGAGTCTCAGTCAAATCACTCAACTCAGTCTGACAGTGGGGTGTCCGACTCCCAGCCAGCGGGACACGTCCGTTCCCAAAGCATCGTGAGCTCCATCTTCTCCGAGGCCTGGAAACGAGGCACGCAGCTGGAAGAGTCCAGCAAGGTAACACCTGTGTCATCGGTAGAGAAAAACCTGTGGTGCTGCGTGGGTTTAGCTTGCTGCTCTTTTATTCCTGTACAGGGGGCCTTGACTTACGAGTGTCCCAACTAACGAGTCTCTCGGCCGATTTTTTGCATTGAGTTGACAGAGTAATTTGAGTTAACGAGCTCCTTAACGAGCTCGGTTTCGGAACGAATTAAACTCGTAAGTCAAGGCCCCACTGTATTAGGAATCTTTCTTGGCTCTACATGATATACTCTCTCTTTGGTTTCTCCTCAGAAATGAGTATTTGTGAATGGGCTCTAGTGATTGTGATTTGGAAAAACAAACAAAAAACCCTGGCAGTGTAACTCCTTTTCAGTGGCTCACATTTTAAGAAATATTGATTTCCTCCTCCTCCTCAGTCAGTTTGAGTAGAGCAACACCATTCAGTGCCAGTGCCCTGATCTTGCTGCGAATGGTTGAGTGTTTCTTTATGTATTATTGATTTAGTTTATTCAGACTCCGTTATCTTCTTTTCTCCTATGCTTTTTGACATTTCTCTACACATGGATGAATTTTCTCCAATTATGGTATATGTGGAAGGCTACATTGAAATTAATCCCCTTAAAATTTTGGATTCCTAAGCCTTGCATAGTAGCTTGTTCATTGCCACTGAAGGACAAGTGTAATTATTGCAAGACTATGTAAAAAAAAATGGAGAAGTTCTTTAGAGGATTATAAAACCCCATATCAAATTGCCTCTAAAATGAGAGCGCGCGGTGTGTCCTGGCCGCACTCACCTGCTCACGCCGCTGCTGAAGACAGTGGCACATTTGACCTGACCGTTTTGTTTTTACCCAATAATTTTGATTTTTCTGTTCTTTTGGTCTGAATCACTTATGCAAGTACATTCACTAATGAGAATTAAATGGTTTTCACTCGGTTTATTCCTTAATTTTAATATTTAGTCCTCGGGAGGGTGGAGGAGGCATTTAGTAACCCAATGTGGAGACCTCTTAGAAGTAAATATTCGAGAATTGGTTCTCATGGCCTAAATTCTCAAAGCACTTATAGTTTAACTTTCTTATCAGAGGCTGAAACTTTAAGAAATAGTCCTCTCCTTTCTTCCACTTACTGTGGATAGAGTGGCCCCCTTTCTGGTGCTCATTACTCGATGTATGTAGTAGAGAAGCAGGTTTACCCTGCAGACATCGGGAGAGAAGTCTTCACCTTACTGCATGTTTATGGTGCTGTCCATGTGCATTTTAAATGAAAGGCCAAGGAAAACAGGATCGCATGCCTGTGACCCAGCAGGGCACGCTCACTGCAGTTTCAGGAGTGTGCGCCCTGCTGTGCAGCAGTGACGATGTGTTTGAGTCTTGATCCTCTTGTGTTTCTTCTGTTACCTCAGTCTCAGGTGCCAAATGAGAAGGCCAGCACAGCTAAGGTCTACAACCCTGCAGCAGCCAAGACAGGGTCAAGTTAAGGTCAGGGGCTGCTCTATGGAAACACATTAACCTGGGTGACTCCTGTAACCAAGTCTTGCAGACTAATGCTTTTACTTTGATGTGCAGTTTTAAAAGAAGCATTCGAGTGTCCTGATGAGCAATAGAATTCAGCCCTGTAATGAGCCTTCTAGTTCACTAACCTCAGCTTTCTACATGCTAATTAGATTTCATTCATAATTGAAAACAATTGGTTTAACTTGGATCTTCATAGGATATTCAAAGAGCCTAAAAGATGTACCCAAAGTTATTAAACAAGGGTCCTTCCTCTGCTCTTCTCAAACATCCTTGAACCACATCCATGCATGAGGAGTTCCATGAAATCAGTGACTCAAGGTGATAATTTGGGCCATGCTAAGAGGTGCTCGATGGGCTGGCCAGCAGGTTGTTGGCAAATTCTAGCTCCCCTTTCTTGATACATTTCCTTTATCCTTCCAAACTTTCTTGTCTTCTGCCTTTTTCTGTCAGATATTGTTATGATCTTTTGCTGTGATGTTTATGAAGCATTTCTTTGTGTATTTTCCAGTCAAATGTAAAGAATGCCCCCTCTTTACCTGCATTGCTGGACTTCTGTGTATGTTGGATGTCGGTCACATGAGCATGTGTGTGTGTGTGTGTGTGTGTGTCAGGCTCCTTCACTCCTGTGACAGTGCACGCCCGCTGAGCATTCGTACACTCTCAGTGTCAGCTTACTAGCATCCAAAAGCCACCCTCATTCTCAGAAGGCCCTCCATCAGCACTCCTAAACCCAGCGAGGGCACCTGCCTGATGTGGATGAGTCATGGACTGAAACAACTCCGCCATCACATCTCCCCTTGCCAGAGTTTGGGTAGGGCAGTGCTCAGAGGGCGGGCTCCTGCTTGGAACAGCCTGCCACCATCAGGCAGCACTGCAGCAGGAAGCTGTTCTAGACTGCTGGGCAGTCGAGCTATTTCAAAATGTTGGATAAACAGACTTCCCCTGCGCCTTCGCTGCCCAGGGAGCCAGATTTTAGCCTTCCTGCCTTGCTCATCTTTATGGTCACAGCTGCTGCGCCTTTTCATGCATGTCCGAGTCCTTGCCTTTTATTTTTACCCATTCACAGCTGACAGCTGTAACTATTGTTATGTTTTCTCTCACCCCCCTTTTGTACTCCTTTTAGGCCAGAATGGACTCTATGAATCGATCCTACACTTCACTTATGCCCCCTTTATCCCCACAACCTAAACTAGTCAGCCCCTACACGGCCTCCCAGCCTTCGCCTCCTCTCCCACCCCCACCC